ACACCAGGAGAGTACCGGTATACTGGCGGGCGCCGCCGCATTCGGAGAAGGTTTCACACTCGGACACGTCTCACACGTGCGCATATTTGTGTCGTCTATTTGTACAGCTTGGGCCACCAATAGTGCCAACTCACAGAGCTGTACGTCTTCGCACGACCAATATGACCATTGAGTGAGCCTGTCGCAGGGCTACACACATATTATCACCAGCGTTTACGGCGCCGATCAAATTCGTCACTGACGTCGTCACCGTCATGACATGAGCAAGCTATAATCTGGTCTGTGTGACAACGCGTCAGCCAAAGCATTCTGCTTTTCTGGCTTACACTTCACCTCGAATTTATATTCTGCGACGGAAAGCCACTTGGCCGTCCTCTGCGAGATGAGAAGCTACTGAGTCGCAGTGCAGAGTGACGCATGATCTGTGTAGATCACAAACTGATTTGATCCAAGCAGGTGCACTTTGAACTTGACAAGTGCATATTACGTCGCAGGTAGATCCTTTTCGTGGATTGGGTGGTTCTTCTCAGCAGCCTTAAGCTAGTGAGATTCGAACGCGATCACCCGTTATCGCTCCTCGGCGTCTGCCTGCAGCAGTTTGCAGCCGATGGCAAAGTCTGAAGCGTCGCCGTTCTATTTCCGCAATACTTGTGCAAGAAGTTTGCGAAGCCAAGCCACTTATGCAAGTCCTTCTAGTTCGTTGGAACCGGTAGGTCCACAATGGTCTTGACCTTAGCGGGATCCGCTCAAAGGCCACGCTCCCAAAGAAGTACCCTGAAAAGCGATTTTTTTCGCGCCGAAGGTACACCAATCTTAATTATCATACAGCTTATTCGAGCGCAATAAACTCGAACACCGCTCTCAAATGGACGATGTGGATTTCCTCATCAGTCCTTTCGTGCCCCACACGCAGAGGCCATTGGCGTGTTACGCAGTATTTGGTTCCGACGGTATCACTCATCCGCGCTTTTAGCGCCTCAGCATACGGCTGACACTCTTCGATCGTGGAGCGGCGTGCATAATATCTCGACGCCCGGAATCGATAAAGATCTTCCATGGCTTCTCAATGCTCTTCACGGTTACTTTTACGACTAGCAACCCCGGCTTACATACACGTTGCGTGTTCAAGAGCACAGAGCTCTTCAATGCTAAGCCTTGCTGTCCTCTAC